AACGCTCGTTATTCCTGTCAAATAATGCAAAGAACTACTACCGATACCGTGCACAAAAGTCAGGCCTGCCCCGCTGTCTCCGGAATGAACTCCTTGTCCCAACTTAGAACCGGCGCAAAATTTATCAGGAGTAACGAAGAATTTAAATGCGTCTGAATACATTTCCCGACATGCCTTTTGGTCGATGTATGGCAATAGTGCTTCTAATAATTTAGGACTCGCCGATCCGGTCTCCGTTTGTCCCCAACCGACGATCTTTCCAATAGCTCCATTCGATATGGTATATCTTTTGAACCAGTCGACACAAACAGGCATAACAACGTTGCTTAACTGAACTTTTTTCGTCAGCAAAATAATGGCTATGTCATTAGCGTAAAGTCCGGGAGGTCCGTAAAAGTCTTCGTTCAGGTAAATTAATCCGACGTCCATTATTTGTGTAAAATCGTTGTCTTTAACCGAAATATCTCTATTATACTTTCCAACGCCAATTTTGTACAAGGAATTACTATTCAGTATAATTTTGCTAGTTAAATCTTTGTTCCAAAAGCAATGCGCCGCGGAGACAACTAAATTCGTTGTGATCAACGATCCCCCGCATATCATTTCATAAGTGTTTTGTTCATTTTTCCGGTAAATTCCAACATTCCAAGGAGCTGCTCCGTAATTCGCTTCTTTGCCGTGAAGAATCAACGCTTCGTTAGGGATGTACGGTCGACCGCAATCTAGAAAAAACATTTGAATACGTCTTATATAAATACTGTTTTTGCATGATACATTATGTTTTCGGCGTGTGCGCGTAGTACCGCCTATTTACGTTCTGTACATGAATCTAGCACTCAGTGTTAAATCAACGTATAGTCCGGAATAGTAATTTCTGTTCCGTTTTATACACGAGTTCGGCACTTCAGCGTAATACATGTTATAAAATATTTAATATGTACTTTTTATATAATATCATAAATAATATTCCGTTCAATGTTTATTAATTCAATTTATATTTGGTATTTAACCATTAATAATTGTTACAACTTGTCACACATTTTTATAAATCAGCTTAAATATATAATAATAAAATAATGTTAGTCTTGTAATTAAATGATTAATATATTTTTTTTAATATTATTTATTATTATTGTAAATATAAATTGAATTAATAAATATTGAACGGAATATTATCTATGATATTATATAAAAAGTACATATTAAATATTTTATAACATGTATTACGCTGAAGTGCCGAACTCGTGTAAAAAACGGAACAGAAATTACTACTCCGGACTATACGTTGATTTAGCACCGAGTGCTAGATTCATGTACAGAACGTAAATACGCCATCGGATATGATAATATATTAAATTTTCACGCGGCCAAAAATATAGCTGCGTTTCAACACAATACTAAATTTGGCTCGTTTGAAAATAAGAAAATAAACAAGTACTTGGAGTGCACGTATACAGAGCCCCTCTCCATTCTCCGTTGGGTAGACAGAGCAATTCCACTGGACTTTCCACACCTCCGTTTGGTATGCCGTGCGTAACTTTACACGAGGGCGTCAACGTAGTACCCGGTATCGATGGTATAGAACAGTCAACGGTTTTACCATCAAGTGCGCATTTCATATCCAAGCCATCCGACGTTAAAGGTCGACATTTCTCTAAGAACATACAAACGGTTTTATCTAACATGCGTATTAAGCACGTATTTATTTGTTGGAAAGTTTGAATTAAAGAAATAAAAGTACGTTATTATTTGAAAAAAAATAGAGACCTTATGCATAACTTATTAGTAGGATTACGCTTCAATTTTCGAAAAACTAGTCGGAGAACATAGTTCCTCTGGGTTCCAAGGTCTTCCTGAATAGAAAACTTTTTAAATATTTTTGTTTAAAGTAAATTCCATCCCAAAGAGTAAGAAAATATTGTGTATACTTAAGAAATTATTACTTACATTGCGATTACGGATTTTCAGAAAAGAAAAAAACTATAGTTACCACATTAATCGAAAGTTTATATTTTGTATTGCAACAGTGATGTCATGGAAACAGGGGCGGCTTCAGGGGGGCCCTAAGGGCCGTGGCCCCCTCTCAAGCCCGTACCGTATTTATAAAAAAATAATAATAAATAATAAAAATAATAAAAAAAATTATTAACAAAAAATGTATATTATAATATAATATGTACTATGATTCGACACTCACAAGTATATAGATAGGGTCATAGAAGTATGACGGTTGAGTTTCTCCACATCGGAGACTAAAAACCTGGCTTCGTTCAATGATGACTGAAGATAGACTACTATCAGCATTATGTCTAATTAATGTATATCAAAATAGATATTTTAGATCAAATAGATCATTTTATTGATATTTTTACCAATTTTAAAAATAGATGACTTGAGTTTGTATTGTAAAAATTGTTGTTTTCTTTTTGTTATAAGATTTTGTAAAACTATAACTTGGTGCCCCCTTAACCAAGGCTCTGGAGCCACCTCTGTATGGGAATGGATTTTTTATTGTACCGTAAAAGGATCTTTACTATATTCGATAAACTAATGCATTATGGATGTAATTTCAACGACCGTGGTATAATATGAAAATAAAATGGATTTTTCGATAAAACGGGAAATATTGACTGTATTGCAGTGAACAGTAAAGAGTTTAAAGGGTATACTTACTCAAACATAATTTTTCGGAAACTAATGGAGTCCAATTACCACCTGAACATATCATGAACCTATAAGGTACCGCTTTATGGTAACCTTCTTCACAGTTCTCTTCGACGATTCGATTCTCATCAACCAGACTCCCAGGAGACAAAATAGTATTTTCGTTTGAATTATTGTAAGAGTATTTAGAACCCTCCACGGTTGGTATCACACATCTTCTCCTTTAAATATATAGAACATTAGTTAACCATGTCCAATTACAGTCAACTAAATAATAACAATTTAGATATATATATAAACAACTTATGAACAATTTACTCTGGTTACTAGAAATATTTTGAACTTTCCATATTTTTCGATAAATTTTTAGATTTTAGAAGTATTTTAAAAAGCCCAAATTACTTGGTAAAATATAAAAACATTAGGCATTTATCAGTGGCGTAGCCAAGGGTGGGGCTAAGGGGGCTATAGCCCCCCCCATGGGCCGTATTTATATGTATAATGTATCTTGACTATTTAATAGAATCAATGGATGCTCGTTTTAATCAAAGGTTTATTGATGTTATGCCACTTGAAGGACTTATTCCGGCCAATTTAAATATGTATGACGATAAAAATATTATAAAAGTTGCTAAAATATATGTCCAAGATCTCCATGATGATACGTCATCTACAATCAGAGCTGACCTGTTCATATGGAGGCAACAATAGAGTCAAAATACTATTCCAAAACCGAATTCTGCTCTTGATTCACTCTCTCATCGCACCAATCTTCGACCTAACATTGAAATACTTTTACAATTATTTGCCACGTTACCAGTTACCTCTTTCACTTCGGAATGAACGTTTTCAGCACTCAATCGCTTAAATTTTTTTTTTAAGAAGCACCATGTCGGAAAACAGACTGAATGGGTTAGCTATGGCTCATATAAATAAAAAAGAGGAATTCAATGAAAGTTAAATAATAACTGAATTTGCCAGAAATTCGCCTAAGAGGATGCAGCTGTCAGAGTGGAGCAAGTGACTGAACACTGAAACCAAAATTATTATTATTATTATAAATTATATATTAATAAATATTTTTAAAACTATATTAAAATGCTTGAATTACGTTTAGAAACTTGGTGGTAGATGATGGGGGAGGGTTAAGGGTGAATTCTCATATCCTCTCTTACCTTACTTATCCAAAAAAGTGGTTAGCCCCCCATTTAAAAATCCTGGCTACGCCACTGGTACCTATTTAAAAACTAAGTACGTGTTATTTTATATTTTTTTATAAATATTAGTATACATCAGTGGTGTAGTTACGGGGAGGGTGTAAGGGGTTTCCACCCCCCCATAGATTTTTTTTTTTAATGATATTTGATTATTATTTATTAATATTTACATATTATAGTAACATTTTTGATTTTACTATGATTAGGTATATATTAAAAATTGAGTAACAAAATAATTTTCATTAAATACGGGACATAATAATAATACCATTTTAAATGTAATTTTATTACATATGACCTCGTTTTAAGATATACTAAGAACACTTGAAAACTTACTCTTAAACATCACCCCCCTCCAGAAAAAAAATTGTATCTACGCCACTGGTATAGATGAGAGTTATTTTGGCGTTTACTTTATTGCATTTTATATTTATTTTTTTAATATGTAATATTGGGTATTAAAGTTTTGGCCCAAGCGCTCCTAATTATACTATTTATGTATAAATATTAAAATAAGTTTATACTTCGTATTAGACTGCGTCGTTTGACTGATCGAAGTTGGACGGGTTGTGTATTTCGTTGGTGTTTTTACTGTTGTTATTGAATTGTAACATTTTTCCTCATCAGAGCCATCCAGGCACTGTATCACATTGTCACATCTGCTTGACCCATTAACACAACCACCATATTTGCACTTAAACGAATACACTGGGCACCTTTAAAAAGTAATTCCGGTATAGGTTTCACGAGCTTTTCTTTTGAATGTAAATCGTTTTACTGGATATCTTTACACAGAGTTCTCGTCTCATCGGATCCGTCACTGCAATCGCGAACTCCATCGCAAGTAGATGTACTGTCGATGCACTGACCAGACTTGCAGCGGTATTCATTTTCATTTCTGAATAAAACACAATTTTGTAAATAAAGGAAAACGTATGCTTATAATTTTTAAAAATAATTATTATTGTAATTTTAAAATATTAACGATAAGTACCACACTCGTATGATTAAAACGTTTGTGTCATTTAACTGGTATAACAAAATGTATTCGTTGAAATATTTTGATAAAAAAAAACGATATAGATTGACGATCCATTGGGATACGGTAGCATATTACACTACTCTCGTCTCATACAATTTTTCATGGATAATTAAACTCCCCAAAAACCAAAAAACTATAATTTCATTAATAATATTGAATAATAAAGATAACACATTTTTTCGTGGTATAAATATTTTATATTTTTTTAGATGTAGGTACCTATTCAATTCAAATTTTTAAGTAAAAACGTAAGAATTAACAAAATAGCTCTTCGGTTTTTAAAATTCATTATTAAAACGTTATTTTATAATGCGAAAATTCAATAATCTACGAATAGAGGATTTAAACATCAATATATCAAGTAACTTTGATTATTTAATAAAAGTCTATTTTGATAGCCAGCTGAAACAAAACATTGTAATGAATTGAAGTTAATGAGTATTTATAAACATTATGCAATAATATTTATTATTTGTTTTTTGTTGATTTCTGGATGTGAATAACCTTTTTTCGAGGCACAAACAGTATTTTCCCACATTAACCATAAAGTGACTTAAGTAATATCTCTTTGTATAATAATTATTAAATTGTCTTATTTATAATCAAACTTTTGTTAACTTTCTCGATGCACATATGCATTTTCATTGGGTACCACTTAAACAACCAAGTAGTGCAAATCTACCAAGTGACGTTGTTTTTTAATGAAAGTACTCAGTTGTAGTATGTTTGTACTTATTGGTGTTTGTCATTATAAATATTAATAACTAGAAAAAAACCTATTGCGGTCAACCTGTTAATTATGTTGACGATAAAATTATATGTGAAATTAAAAAATATATAAGATGTTGCTTACTGGCATGTGGGACTATTGGGTTTGCTAGGATTATTTCCTGAGCAAACGGAAGAGCTTTCATCGGATCCATCAATGCAGTCGTTTTTGCCATTACATTTGGAATTTTGGTTCACACAGGCACCGTATTTACAACGAAACAAGTAGCTCGGGCAACTAATATTGGTGCACAGTTTTGGCGTTTCGTCGGATCCATCCGTACAATCTGCATGTCCATCGCAAATCAATATCGAGTCAACGCAGTTGCCGTTCGAACATTGATACTGTTCTCTGTAATGCAAAAAAAAAAAATGAGTAAAACATTTGCCATAATGTGTATTTATATGTGTAGTTATATGTATTAGTGAACAAGCATTTGCTTCAAATCAACAGTCTTTAATAGAACTCTGAAACAGTAGGTAATCATCTATATTAAAATGGTATAAAAAGTAAATACTAGTAGTTGCCTACAATTGTCGTATACAGGTTTAAATAACTATCCCCTAGTAAAATCATGTTGTGCAAAATAATCTTACACTTGAAATATATTTTTATATAAAAAATAAAAAATAAAATACCATTGTATCAGCTTTTTAACTGTTGAAGCAACCATAGAGCTCAAGCATTCCATTACATTTACTATACCGAACACAACTTATTCGTCCAGCGTTTGTATTTTAACTATGTACATAATTCCTAAAGTAATGTGATGGTCTAATATGTTACGCGTGTGAAATGGGAAGTGGCAAGAAGAATGCTGACCAAGGGGTCATTGGTACACGCTGTACAACAGTTGTACAGAGTGGATAAGATAACGAGGTGTCGTGATTGACCATACAGAAGCGGTGCATAACGAAATTCAAGAACCATTAAATAGACTATATTTAGTAGTCTAAAAAAATTTAATTCTGAGAATAAATTTATATTTCGGATCGAGACCCCCTCCCACGAATATACAACACTGTTAAATTATTACACTGATTAAATATATATCAAATATAAGATCAATGTTGAATATCAAAATAATAAAAATATAATTGATTTCTGTATATTTTGATCAACCGAAGATGATGTTTGATTGGTATCAGATATGTATTGGTATTTTTGAAACTCGATATTTGAACAAAAAAATTGAATTCCAGTATTCTAAGTGTAGTATTCTTAGAAGTAACTTTAATAAGTGTAAATAATTTTAAATAATTTTTATTTTCCTACGATCATTATCAATAGTAACTAGAAAACAATTCATATAACCCAAAACGTTAAAAAAAAAAAATAATGTAAGCCAATATTCACTGATGAACGATTTGCATAGAATCATATAAACGATATTTTAGTAATAATTGTAAAGCTTTTTTCGACAATCGAATATAAAACAATTCAAATTCGTAGAAATATCTATAACTTAACAAGTAATAGTAAAAAATATTATAGTTACCAACACAGAACAAACTGATACGATTTGTCGTTTTTCATGTTTTCCATGGCATACAACACGTGTACCTGAAATAATCAATCCGTATTCAATGCAAATTTAGTCGAACGTTAAACCGTTGCTGTTGTTATAGTAGTTTTTAGAAAACAATGTCGTGCAAGCAGAGGCGGAACTTGGGGTTGGAATATGGGGATTCATCCCTGGGTGTAAAATTGTAGAGTGTAATTTTTGTAATTATTAACAAATAATTTGATATCTATGACTTTGTTAAACACTGTTATTCGGTTAAAACTCAATAAGTACGATGTATATTAATTATTAGAAAAAAATTCCCGAGAAGCGTATTGATTATTGTTCTATGGGCTTAACATTTTCCCCGAGCGTAAAGATTCCTAGTTCCACCTCTGCGTGCAAGAGTTCATCGTTTTATCCGAACAATATAGTACCCATATTACAATATCACAACATTACGTACCGAAAATGAGGAAAACGATGCACAAACGCATCGTCCAGGAGTACGCCGCACACTTCATGGCGAATAAACGGCAAGACGACGAACAACAAATTTAACTGAAGTCGAACACTGTTGCTATTATAAAGATTTAAACTATCACAATACACTATTTTACGATACGAACGGAGTGGTTGTTATTGTTAAAATCAGCGAACAACTACTACAGAGTGGACGGAATCGTGAACACTATGAACTCTGAGAACACTGATAAATAAAAATTATTTGTCGACTTAAAAAAAAAACCTCTCGTTAACAATGTTTTTGTTATCGAACAGATCAACCGGCCGAATGATAATAGTCGACGGAACTGCATCCGATTTGTCGGTTGTTTCTTGGTCGGAGGGGAGGGGTTGCGCGCGATAGTTTTAAAGTTAGGTTGGGCACTGCGTTGACCGACAGGCCAAAGGACACGGTACGTATGATCAAGTCGGTATTGGCATTGAACGTGTACGTCATGACGTTATCGCAAAATTCAACGTTTAAAATGTTGGGTACCTCAAGCGTATAGTAAGGTGCAATTTAATGTGTTCCGCTAATAGTTTTTTCGTGCGTACTAGAAAAACTGGTTATTATCGTACGTACAGCGATGTACACGATTAAGAGAACCGGTCGTTGTGAATAATATCCTGTAATTGGTTTATTTTCAACGTTCCGGCATTCCAAGATTTTAGTTCGCAGTCGATGTTGGATCGATTAATGGGGGGGGGGGGCATAGTCTACGTTTATTGCCAATTGCCCATTGTTGAGACGGATTACGGAAATCGAGTAAAATATTTTAATTGGGTTTTTTAAATCGCACTTTGTACCTTATTTAATTATTGCGCACAATGGTTAGGTATCCTTTATGCGGTAATCATCGTTCGATACGAATCCAGCGTACTTCGATTGGCCGGTAAATCGAAGAAGTTTTCGTGTGTAAGCGCTTTTTTTCGATTAAAAAACGCAATATCAACGTTCGTTAACAATTCAACAACAAGCAAATGTTAAGCGTTGTATTCATTCGACCACAAATATAGATAACGGTGCGTAACTCAAATAAATGTGATGGATTCACATATTTTCACTATTCAGAATTGTTTATTGTAAATCATTTTTAAGAACAATTTAGAACTATCATCTCCGCGGAAGCTAATAGTTCGTTAATACATTTGATTGGGTAAGTTAAACGTAGGTCGGAGCTTCGGTCGGACGGACGGCCGCGGCACCGCGGAGGCGAGTATCGAGACCGACGACCACCCGGTCGGCTATTCGGGGGACGCCGTAACGGCCGTAGAAGTTGCGGTGAAAACCGTGTCCACGTTCGGTTTCCTCAGCACCACCACCGTGGGCACGGTACACCCTGATCGGTCCGCGTTTAAGCGGCTGACGCCGACGGGAAACCGACCGCTTGACGGTTCCAACGACGACCGGTGACCGACGAGCCCTGCTTCTCGGTGTCCGCGTGCCCGGGCGCAAGTCCGTATCTAGAAATTTTTTTCAGGAGGGGTCCAAAACATGTATATTATAATTTTATTGAATTTAGATTTTAACTTTTGATATCTGGTTAAAAATAAGACGGAAAAAGATTTAATCTTCTTTTATTAAAATTAATATTACATTTTCATATGATATTATGATATAAAATTAAAAGCAATCAATGGTTAATTGGAGCTTAAGTCATTTTTGACTGAAAATATTTATGTTTGTTTTAAAAATGAATAATTATTTTAAACATTCATAAAATATTGAAGAAATTTCAGGGGGGGTCCAGACACCTTACACCCCCTACACATGGCCTTGCCCGGACGTGTTGGCCGTGCACGTGGTCCGGAGGTGCGCTTTCGTTGATCCGTTTTACGGCGTGGCCGTTCGGCTGGCGTACACGTTCCGAAGAGTGATCGCCGTGGAAAAGGACCCTGCCAAAATACGGTTGGCCCGCGGAACTCGGAGTCGCCCACCGGATTGACTTTCGGGTCTGTTGTCCGAAGTGACGGCCGGTGTGGTGATCACTTCCCTACATTTCGCTGGAATCGGCGGTTTAGCACTGAACACTTGTGCAGCCGTCAGAACGGTGGGTTGGCCGGAGTGCTCGGAATGGCACGCGAGATAATCCCCCGCTGAGTCGTGCTCCACGTGCCCAAAACCATATACATGTCTTGGAGTGCGGAAGTGCAGTGAGATCAGGGTTTGGGCGCGTGGAAATCGAATACGACAGCATTGAGGGCTGGAAGAACTTTTCAAACGCTGTTTTATACCTGTATAATGTACGCGCTTATCTGCTGCACCGAACCGATCAAACCGGTCTGCTGGCAATGCAAAGGGCCATTTCCGAAGTTATCGATGTTCGAGAACATTATATTCCTCCCGGCCTCCCAACTGGGTACGATCGTTCGCCTGGCCCCCCGACTGCTATCGGTGCCCCGGGAAACTCACTCCGTGTGCCACGGCCATATATTACGGAGTTGTTGTCCGGGTGCGTCCCGAACGTATTCTATGGACTTACGAGTCATCCGGGCTTTTCCTGCATCGTGTTTTCGTTGTTGACAATTGTAATCTGGTCCAATACGTCGCATTTGATTTATTTTTCAATGTCGGCCATTTTTGTCATCGTGGTGTCGGTTCTGCACCCATTGGACGATCACGTTGTCGTCGCTCGCCGTCTTTCAATGCTGTCGTAGACGTTCCTAGTTACAACGAGCGATTCCACTTAGGGACAGTGTTCCAGGTATATCTCAGAAGACTTCCGGTAGTCTCCTATCCGTCGCACATGGATTAACTTGGTCGCGTGGGTGAAACCACCTACGCTAGGTACATTAATATCGCGGTGTTGCGATAGATTTTCCATTATTATTATTATTATATTTAATAGAGCTCAGATGTTTATGACTAGCCATATTTTTTTCACGCAACCAAAATTATACCCTAATATGATGTAAATTCGATTCATGAAATCTCGATTGCAAATATGCAAACTTTTTTGCATATTTTTGCATATTTGACGTTTTTGAGTATATAAATGCTTATATCGATTGTTTCTAGATTAAGTAGCATATCATTTATAAATTATTAAGTATAATATTAAAAATTGTCCAAATCATTATAAATGATCGATCATTACCGTTAATTATGTCATTTTTAGTCTACAAAAACTTCTTATCGGATTGTCGAAGGTTCTTCAAGTTTGAAAATATCAGAAAAATTATTGTTTTACAGTGTAATACTAATACTTAAAATGCTTAACCTATGTAAAATTTAACTTTATTAGCTCGAAAACTAACTAATTTTTTTTTCATCTATATTAACTGTGTTTTTTTTGTAATAAAATAATTTTAAATACACATTCAAAAAAGTACCTATATACATTTTTTGAATTAATATTAACTATTTTTTTTTTGTATAAATTTGCTGAAAAAAAAGGTATATTTAATACATTTTATGGCATATAATTGCATATTTTGACATTTTATAATGCATATTTTTATGAAATTTTGGTCATTAGCATTCGAGCTTTAGTTATATGTAAGGACGTCCGCCAATCGAATATTATTATTATTAATATAAATCAAGAATAAAGATTAAGCTATTATCTTTATTTGTTAAATTGTGAGGTTACTTCCGTCCTCAGCCCTTTTGACTGCAGCTTCCAAATCAGCGCAATTTAATTCGGCCGATCTACAGGTTAATGTAGTGGAACCGTCAGGTATCTCTGACCGATTATTGAGGTTACGTTTACAATACCTACAGAGTCGAGTGATGGTATCCGAAGTCGGTAACAGCACAGAGACCATATGCGTAGGCGCATTTTTCATTATCGAGATCTGGATCCGATAATCGGCAATTTTCCTTGATCGAAGACATCGGGATCCTATAGTACATATTTTTTTTTTTTTATCAAAACATTAATCATTTTGTACTGTTTACTTATTTGTTTTGTTTTTGTGGATATTTTAGTCGTGTTGAATATTGTTCTTTTTTTCCTAATATAAGTTTTTTTTTAATTTTTTTTCAATTACCAAGTTTTCAGAATAAAAATTAGTGATTTTTGATTTTTGGGTTTTTTTCTCTTTTTTACTTTTTATTATATGTTATTTTTTTCTATTACTGGGTTTTCTCTTTTCATATAAAATCAATAATTTTCATTTCCTAACGTGGAGATATTTTTATATTTTCATTACTTCTGCTACCCTAAATTTTTTTTGTAATAAATATTAATGTTAATTTAATATAATTGTTATTTTGTTATGATGTTCATCTTGAATTGTATTTTGAGCTAACATCTTTTCCCTCATTTTTACTCTTGTAAAAATGTATAATAATTTTATACCAAACTCATTTTATTCGATGAAATTGTTTTATAAAAAAACATAAATTTCCTTGTTTGAGTGAGAATTATCGATCAAGTGATAATCGAATGATCGAATGGTATTGTTACATTAGCATGATAAAATTGAAAGCTTTTATTTAATAAAGAATAATAACTGAAGCAATATTTTTGAATAAAATTGTATACACAAACACAACAAAATAAATAGGGTGGAACTCGTTTCGCCCAAATTTTGTTTTTATATAATTCCCGTTTCGCCCTGAGTGTTTAGACCATTTTAAAATTAAGTTGGCAATGATTATAATATTCTAATATTTGAATATCATTTAGCGTTATCCAAAAAACACCACAAGGAGGCGATATTCTTTGTTTTCCAAAAAATTTTGGAAATAACCTAAAGTATATAACGTAGCAGAACACGAACATTATACACACGCCAACGAATTTCACATATATTTACATTATTTGAACCAAAATTGTATTTATAATTATTAAACATTCCCAGATCTTTGTATATTTTAGTTTTTAAAAACAAAGCCATTTTAGTAAAATGCGTGTTATGTTTACACGTCGACGTCGCGTGTACACACTGACCACGATCAAAGATAATCTTTGTTGTCTATTACTTTTATAAGTTATAAGTAGGTACCTATTTTATATTAGATAAGATTAGTTACAATGATGATGCAGCGCGTTGATAAATTCATTTTTTTGGTGTGCTTTCGGTATGCGCTTTATAGGTTTTGCTCGATCTCAATTCGATAACGACTGGATTTCTTATGTGTTATTTTATATATTATTATTTATAAACGATATTTCTTTTCTTTTCTATCTCAATTACCCGTAATTTTATTACTAAAGGTTTTATAATAGTCGTCCTTTAGGGATCAGAAACTTTAGCACCATTTTTTCTTGACGTTCGCTTGTAATATTTTACTGAACTAATGCCAACTTAATTTTAAATTGTTTTAAACTATTTTGGGCGAAACGGGTACCTGTGCGAAACGGGCTACGCCCAATAAATAATGTGTGATCAAAATACTAGACGGTGTTGAGTGCGTATCTCTTGAAGGTTTTTGCAATTATTCGGAAAATTATAGAGAAATTCATAGTATAACCTCCTCTAAGTACCAACAA